AAGCTTGTAGCCTGTGAAAATGTTGCTTTTAATTAAAAGTTGTTGCCGCTTTTGCAATTGTGCGTTGTCGTCGCCCCTGCCTCGCATCGAGCCCCGTTGTTGCCCCGCCCGTGTCTGCCTGTCAGCCCCTGCTCCTCGCAGTTAGTCGTCGGCATTATGGCAGAGAATGTTTGTACATTTGTAGCTTTACTTACTTGTATTTTAAAGCCCGATGCTGTCAAGATAAGAGCGCGTGTTTAACAACTAAGTAGTTGGAAAGGCACATGTTTGTTTAAAGATATGTGCGTCCGGATTTTTGATTCATGCCTTCAAGCCTACGCAATTCATTTTTCGTGATTTTATTTGGCAACTTACTGGCTAATTAAGTGTATAAGTCACTTTTATTGGAAGGATACATTTAGTTTAAACACCAAATATAAGAAATATATATAATGTCGAAGGAAATGGCAGAACAAGGTCAGGTCAGAGTTCTCAAAGCATTTGAATTAACTCAAACTGTTTATTACATAGATACATATTATATCTAGTTACAGAGAGAGGGAAAGTTAATTTTGTATACATACATATATACATAGACCAGAAATAATATATGTATTTCATTTCAGTCTATAAGTTATTTAATTTCTCAAAACTAACTTAGTGCGTTTTTCTAAATTTCTTAGGTTTCTTAGCATCCCGTGCCGTTGCCTTTAACGGGCACTCGCAAAGTTTTGTTTCGAAAATAAAGTAATTCTAATTACTAATATAGAGTTAACATTCAGATGAAATAACACATAATTCAGTATTTCATTTTCATGGTTCGCAATGAAATTACTTTGAATAATGATCGGATAAATAAATAGATACCATATGTTTGCAATGCCAAAATGATCATAATTGCCTATAACTTCTCAATCGACTTTAAAATTCTGTAAGTGGCAGGACGTTAAATCATCGACCCATGAATACATACCCTTTTCAAGCTGCCGCAGTTCAATTAACATTTACAGCTAATATGTATTTCAGGAAAATAAGTATATGTGCATTACTATATGCTTTTCTCTCTTTCTAAATTGTAACGGTAAGTCTGTTTTGGTATGCAAAAATATATATGTTGTCTTAATCCTTTGGGATTAAACGCTGCGGAAGACCAATCAACATCGACGAACGGTGTAAGCGGGAAATTAGGCATCTACATGTTCAAAAGGAGATGTCTTGTAACGAGTTCTTATAACACCTCATAGTAAGTATTTTGAGGTACTGAATGATAATTCAAAAATATCAAATTTTATTACGATATGTTCGATAAGCAACAATACTTTTGGTACTAAGATTGGCATTTGTGCGATTTTTCCTATGGCAGCTACTACTACCGATTTTAATAGTAATTTAAAGTGTAATAAGGCATTTTAAAAAGCTGAATAGTTCCAATTCTGGCTACGATGTTATATTAACGTATAATGTAATAAGCAAAATTTGATTGATTTCCACACAAGTCTGTCCTATACCAGCTATATGATACAGTGAAGCGATATTTCTGAATCTGTGAAATATCATGGCACTATATGGAACTCATAAGAAACCAATATGCTAAAATAATCATCAGAAAGAAGCAAGTTAATGTACTACCGAGTTATACTGAACCGATCCGGTCCATGATAGATATCTAAAATAATGAGGATATAGAAGCTTGCATTTATATGGTTTGCATTAACTTACACTTAGTATGGATAATACATTATGGTTTTGGTTAAAAAGGTATGAAAGTTTAGTTGTTTTCGTTGGAGTAACCTGTACTACAAACAAGTATAAAAGCTAAAGTCGGGTGTCCCGACTTTGAAATACTCTGTACATATGCTTACAATAATTATAGAAATTAAAAAAAGTAAGAGAATTAAAAAAAATTGCTTGATTTTACCTCTTTTGGTATTCGAACTCACGGAAAGGGTGTATAATTTCACATTTACATAGCAATTGCGTCTGTGTGAGTGTATGTATGCCTATTCGTGTCTGTGTAAACATGAGTGCAATCAACCAAAGCACCAGCATCAACAACAGCCGCGGACAGTGCTTGATAAAGAAACTTAAAGAACGTTTCTTTTTCTTCATCTCCATAATTTCTTATTGCCTCAAATGTTATATTAGTTGCTACGTAAAAGTTTTCCAATGAGAGTGCTCATATACTTGTACTCGTACTGGCAATACACTCTCGTTTTGTTGAGTAAACCACAAAAACTTGCCAATAAAGTTCAGCTTACTGCAAGTTTGTTGCTCCTTCAGCAATTAGCCATATTTTGCACTCAAGTGAAAAACTTAATGCGGTTACTAATATTCGTATAACTTCGAATAAACCGACTTGGCCTTCGGCGACCCCAGCGCCGTTTTTAAGGCGCCTGGATCATTATTATTGCCTAGTGGGCTTGCTCCAAATCAGCAACTGCCTCATTAGTGACCAGCGACATGTAGCGACCAGCCTAATGAACTCTCCGATAGCTCGCTGAGGGCGAGGCACACTATTATATACATGCAGACATACATATATAGTAGATATGTATAGTACGTATATAAATTAGTTTGTTAATATGTAAATCTCCCACATGGCTACTGCTGCTTGCTCCACTTTCCAACAACAGACACTTCCATAAATATCAATTAGGAAAAAATATCAGAAGTGACAGAAGAAACTCGTGAGCGGCAAGCAGCTGTTGCCGTCTGCTGTATTTGCCACCATGGCTACCTGTGGCATGCAACCTACGCCCCTGACAATGCTACCGATTCGCTTACGCTCCGCAGCTCGAGCGTGGCAGTCGTCGTGTCAACTATTTAGATTTCAATAAAAGTGGACACAATACTACTTTAAATTTCTACCGCTTACCAATTGTAGCCATCAAACAGATATGATTCGGGAGGGACTCCAATAGCTCCCCAATAATAATAATAAGCTCTAGTTTGGGCGTCGCAGCGTTACAATGTGTTCAAAGTGCGTGACGTGGGCGTGTGCTAGACAATTGGACCTTTGGAACATTTTCGAAGGTTTTTATATGCTCCAGTGGGTTTTTTGTAACACGAGCAGATTATATATCATTTGATTTAATGTTTGTTAGGTGTACGTAAATAATTAGAAGTTACAGAAGAATCGATATAGTTTGTGTGTGGTTAATAGACCAAATTTTGTTGAAAAGTTGTATTGGTCGGTATACGAGAAATACATAAACTATGGGAATAATATGTGTATATGTTATTAAAAGGAGACAATTTACTTTTACAAGAGTATACAAATTTTATAGCACTTCTCCAAAGCTAACTTATGCACTTGTTAGTTAATTACTACTGCTTATGAGCGAAGGCCGAGAGTCATTCAAAAATCAATTTGTCCGGCTTTTTAATTGTAATTGTTTCATAATACAAATGCTCGCATTGAGAACCAAAGTTCCACAAAGCCTTAAGCTGCTTAGTTTTTCCCAACTAAGAAAATGTTATTAAAACGCTTTCCCACTAATTTTCAAACAACGGTCGCGCCAAAGCTCCGCCTAATTACAACAGCAGCCAAAAGTGGAGCGGGATCGCCTCGCTGGCTGTTTGGCACTTGGAACCGTCACTACCACTAAGCGGCACTAAGCGTCAATATTTCATGTTAAGCCTATTAGAGATTATTGTGCCAGTGGGAACTGCGCTTCAGTGGAGATGGAGGTGGAGCGGGAGCTGGAGCTGGAGATGGAGCGACAAAGGAACATAAAACTGGCGGGAGGTATATTAAGCATTCGATTTGCATAACGGAAAGTTGATAAACAAATTATGTCGAACATTTTTTGGGAATTAGTGACTGTAGGTGAGGCAGCATTTGCGGCATGTGTTGTGTGTAAAATGTGTTTATTAATATACATTTCTTGTATGTTTCAAATTTCGTTTTCTTCACAACATGCATATATATTTTCAATTGTTCTGAAACTAAACCTTGTATTAGAGCATGAGTTGTAATATACATACTTGTATGTTAAACTATATATACCCCATCCAGTATGTATATATATTTTAATCAGTCAGCACGTGACGAGAAAAATCAATACAAGTACAACCACGTCCATCTAAAATGTAACCATTTGTAAGATGACAGATTAGTTTTGACCTCAAAATAATGTTTTCAACTATTCAAGCTAAATTATTCATCTAAACGATCAATCAATAAATGATCTTATTTGAAGAAACAAGTTATTTTTCAGCACATGAATGTTACAGGCGAAAGGAGGAGTGGCTATCCGATTTACTGATATGTCCATCCATCTTTTGAGCCAAAACAGTTGGGAGCATCAAACTTGAAATGCAGACTTGTCTTACCTAAAAGCACAGCAAGTTTATGATAAGCCATATGTACACTATTTTATATAACTGGCACAGGAGCGATCAGTAGAATAACTTGCTTGCTTAAAACTGCAGAAAATATTCAACGGAACTATTTTTTGTCTTATAAAATAATTACTAGCGCTTTAAATTTGATTAATTTTGCTTTTAAATTGATATTAATTCAGTATCGGATTAGATTCCATTTTTAAATCCTAGCAGTATAAATTGTTGGCATCGATTCTTACGAGTTCTCATTTCAAAGCCAAAACTAAACCTATACGGAGAACACACACACCAACTTATAGCCATCATGCAGTCTCTAACCATACAATCAGTTAATGAAAATTTCGAAACTCACACACTGCTGATGTTTTGAAGCCAATTGCTAAAAGGCGTTTACACTTGCCACAGACAAACATTTCATGAATTCATTTGCGCGGCAATGTGGAAAATGCGTCCGGAAACAGAAAAGTGTGCTGGCAGTTGGGCAGGTTATGAAGAAAACTGGTGTGATTGAGCGCCTTGCCGACAGAAAATAAAATGAGTGGCAGAACGAATGCATGATTAGCAAAAGAGAGAGAGAGGCAGGGAACAGGATTCCTATCTGCATGGAAAAAGGCCATTCAAGCCAAACAATTTGAAAATGAGCTCAGTTCTAAAGTTACTGTGGAACAGTAAAGATGATGCACCTGAAGTTGATCTGGATTTTGGCAGCAGTTAACGTCCCACTGAGTCTGCAGCTCCAATCGGTGCAGGATTTGGCTAATGGCATATCGAACAACTTTCTCGAATGGTTGGCATCGATTTTTCTCCCAATAAATACAACTACAGCGCGGCCGGTAACAAACAATTCGAAGCCGACAACACCTTCAACAACAACAACAAAAAGGACCACAACAGCTATAGCCATCAATCTCGATCCCACCGAACGCGAGTGCAGCGTCTGCCTCTGTGGTTTGATCAACACCTTGCGAATCGTTGGTGGCCAAGAGACGCGCCGCCATCAGTATCCGTGGGTGGCGGTGGTGCTGTTGAATTCGCGCTTCTACTGCAGCGGTTCGTTGATCAATGATCTCTATGTGCTGACAGCGGCCCATTGTGTGAAGGGTGTACCGGTGGAACTGATCGAAGTCCGTTTGCTGGAGCACAGTCGCAGCCAAAAGGACGCCTTTGTGGTTAGGCGGTTCGCGAGCCACGTGAAAACACACGAGTTCTACAGTCCAGTCAGCTTTGACAATGACATCGCACTCATTCGTCTGGATCGACCCGTGCCAGTCGACGGTACTCTGCGACCGATTTGCATGCCTGTCCCGGGCTATAGCTTCGAGGGAGAATTGGGCATTGTCACAGGTTGGGGAGTGCAAGCAGAAGGAGGACTGGCATCAGATACTTTAAGGGTAAGCTCTCACTTTCATGTCCTCATTAAAAACATTTACGATGATGATTGCTATCCGAAAGATGGTCACAAAATAATTGTGAAGAGATTTAAAGCTGATCAACATCATTGCCAGCCGATATTCGGTATCGTCTCATATTTCATCATGAATATGAGTTGAGTTGAGTTACGACTTTAGTAAAAATTTTCCAATATTTAAATTGATTCAAAACATAGGTCAATTATTTACCCGACTGATAACCAAAATATTGCAGAACACCAAACTTGTACCGATATATAGAATTACTTAGTATATATCTACTTTCCCTGTCTACAACCACCGATTCAGCATTCTATTCCACATTTGAGTTATTTTTTTGGTTGGCTACAAGGACTAAATGTTTGTTAAAACCTCTTGAGAATATTTCACATTACAGTAATGTAATACGCAGTATCATGTACGTCTAATTTTTTGTTTTAATCCAAGTCTAGTACTATTCCTGATGCTGCAATAGCATCAATGACTCGCAAGCTTTAATTTATATGTCAGCAGTTTTGATTTTATATGAGGCATCAACATCCACAATTCTCGGAGTATCACTTGATATCCACAGAGTACAGTAAGTATGCCCGGCATAACCAGGCAATATGTTCTCTTTCTTAATATAAGTGGTCTCAGGATGACTTTTATGTATTCACATACCGTATACTCCCACCTACTAATTCAAATGGAATTTTAAGCCAAGGAGGTTCATCTAGGGCGAATCTAAGTTACATATACGTATACCCCTTACTGCATATTTTCTTTACGTACTTTTCATTTGATGACCAAGTGGTCTCCATCAAAAATATACAGTGACAACATTCTGAATTTGCCATTAAGCTGCAATATTTGTACCGCCTACTGGTATGTAAATTTATAGCATCCATATGTTTCTATATATGATAAACATGGCGTGATTAATCCAATTTACCAGTTAATTAGTCTGTTACATTTAATACACCTCCAGTTTTAAAGCGATCGCACATGAACACAAAGAAAATGTCGAGGCCGAACATTTATACTCGTACATATATGTATGTATAACAGGCTCTTTTAATTATAATCAATTATCCAAACATATTTCTTATAAGAACTTACTACTACAGTTGTCCGAATTACACCTTTCCTACTCCCTAACGACAAAATTTAACAACCAAATTTATTGAACTGAGCTTGAGTACACAAGGGAAAAAGATGTATAGTAATGATATTTGTATTACAAGTATATTAAAATAAATTATTTATTTTGACTCTGTTGTACAGGAGATTCATTTGTGCATGGAGGGTTTACAAAGCCTTTACCATTTTTCATTTTGTCTCCACAGGAAGTGTCTGTGGTCATCATAACCCAAGCCGAGTGCCGAAATTCCAGCTACAGTGAAAGCGAAATCACCGACAATATGATCTGCGCCGGCGATCTTGCCGAAGGAGGAAAGGATGCCTGCACTGGCGACAGTGGGAGTCCGCTCCATGTGCCCTTCGAGGAAGAACCTGGTCAGTACCAGCTCGCCGGCATTGTGTCCTGGGGCGATGGGTGTGCCCGACCCAATACGCCAGGCGTCTATACGCGAGTCAATCGCTATCTTCGTTGGATTGGCGCAAACATACACGGTGCCTGCCTCTGCACGCCATATCCCGAGGAGGACCTCTGAGGCTAATTGCACTTTATTGTTGTTGCAGTTGCAGAAAGCAGCTTAAATTGTAACGGTTATAGTGGCGTACACACAAAGCACAACACCCAAAACACGTAGCCGGCTCGTCTGTCAAACTTTGACTGCAAAAATATTAACAAGCCCAAAGGCAAAAGCAGGGCAGCCGAAACTTTTGCGCATTGCATTTTGAAATATTACCAAATTTTGCATAAACTACTTTTACACGATTGGAGTACACACACACACACATACACACACACACACACTCAGGCATACATGGATCTGGGCTGCTAGCTCTTAGACTTGCGCAAATCTGCATCCCCATGCCCTTGCCCATATCTCTGTATATCCATTTGCAAATAAAAAAGCAATTTGAAACTGGGTAAGGAACTGTTGCAGCTCCTGTGCCCATTGGGACCGCTGCCATTGCTCTTGAAGGTAAGAAAAGCCGCAAACATGTTGTTGTTGCGATTATTGTGGACTGTAACTTTTCTCAACTGTAAAAAAGCCGTGGATAGGGACGCTTCTCATACAAATAAATCCCAATTTTGTTCGTTTCAACTGCTGCTTTTGAAATTGAGATTGCTATATGCACGTTGCATTGTGCATTTGGCCTAATCATAAAACTAACCGCACCGTAGGACACGCACAAGGATACGAATATGGACGCGGACACTCGTACGAAAACGCAATGGCCAAAGGAGCAACTTTGTACTTTAGATAAATTTCGTGAAATATAATATTTGTGCAAGTGAGTTTTTAAAGTTCGCTGCTTAAGGGAAGCGGACCTTTTGTTTGGCGATATGGAAAAGTTTATCAACAACAAATTATATGGTTTGTATTTAAGAGGAAATTGAGCGACTTGGCAGTTATATAGTAACAAATGAAGAGGAGTTGGCATTTAAATTGAACAAATGCACAAACTGAATTGTAAAACAAAAATATGCACTTCTTTCTTATGCTTTGAATTCGCGATTCATAATTCAACGCATATTTTTCCCTTACTGACTAGCAAGTATGAGAGAAATAGTATTCAGTGGCAAACCTGTTCACGGATAAACAAACTTAGTGCCGGAGGTAAAACTGTAAACTTAAACAATCTGTACCCAACCCAAAAAAAAAAAATCTAGAGTCGAGCCCAATTCTTAATTACCCTGTACGCAATGCTACAAAAAACCAAGCATTTAACATTTGACCTTTTTTGATGAAACTTAACAGACAAGTACTAACTAAAAGTAATGCCAGTAATTTGAAATATTCCAAGAATAAAGAGCGTTATGGAAAATCAGTAAGAGCGCGGGAGTGGAGGGTGCATCAAAAAAAAAAAAAAAAAAACACAAACTCCTTTCTCCGGCTTAGGAGAATCTAGATACCAAATTATTCTTATACTCTCTCATATACTTTTTGAGATCCTTGTATGAACAGACGGATCCATAGGATCGATTGGTGCAATTAAGTTTTTTCTCTTATTTATTATTTCATTTGAATTATTTCCTTTCATTTAAATCATTTAATTTTAATACGGGTATTCATGTTTTGTCATTTTTATAATATTTCTTTAACTACCGGTACATACAAGTAGTATGTGCTGTAATGTTCGTCAAGCCATTGGCACAACTGAAGAGTTTAAAGTACCATAACACGCCATGACATTTGTTTTCTAATCTTAGATGGAATTAATATTGTATATTGTATACAGTATTTAGATATAATATAGTTGAGTTCCTATAAAAGAGTTACTGGAGCTACCTAAGTAGCGTCGGTAGAGTAATGGTCAGCACAGTTGCCCCCCAAGCAGCTGATCCTAAAACTAAAACAATATATATATATTTTAAAGAGAGTAGTTATGGCCATAATCTCTTGTTGTTCTTCTTGTTGCTGCTTTCACTGCACGCTTATACTATGATGTATGCTATTGGAACTGTATATAAACATATATCTCCGAGTTGATAATTGTCATTTTCACTTTTTTATGGAAATGGGTACAGGGTATGAGCTGAGCCTGCTTAACTCAAGCTTTCCATTCTTGTTTGTTTTGAATTGTTGTGAAATAAATATTTGCTTAAGCTAGTATATATTTAAAATGTGCGGTTTTTACATAACTTTTGAATCTATGGTAAATAGTAAGACGATGTAGACAATAGTTCCTTCAAAGTACAAAACTGGAAATTTTATAATAATAATAATAATAATATGTTAAAAAAGGATTATCAAACTTAGTTCAGCCATGAGCGGCTTTAGCTGCAATTTTCCAAAAAATAGTGTCCGTGTCCGGAGGAGACCTTGTTCAAAAATGACACCAAAACGAATTTTTCCACTAAGGGAGTTTTCAGTGTATACATTTTATATTATTCACAAACGATCTCTTTTAACTGCAATAAAATGCACTTTCAAATGCTGATATTTCTTTTATACAAAAATCATAAAACTTTAAGTTGCGATTTCATGACAAAGGAATAGCCAAACCATTGTCTGTCTCTGAAGACCAAATGCTCAATTTTCCAGACCAAGACACAAGAGGCAGATTTGGTCAGAAGGATGAAAACACAGGACTAGATTGCTGCTATATATATACACACATATAAGCTTGAAACTTATTGCTTTTACGCCCGCAATAAAATATTAGTATAGTTGTGAAATTCATCAATAATGTACACATTTTGAAAGCTGCATAAACCAAACTTTGCACACGTAATCGATATATATATATAATATTTATATTTTGTTTTAAGCAATTTCACTTCAGTACTACAAACTGCAGGACCCTCCTGCTCTTCTGCATTTTTGTCTATATAGGAAAATCAAGATGAAAAGATTTTATTTTAATTTTAAACTTAACCATGTTTTATGTTTTGTATTGCCATAAAAATCTAAAGCTTGCCAATTTGTAATTTAATCTAACAATTATTATTATTATTATTCGTGCAAATTAAAATCGAGGGCTTAATTGTTACTGCGCTTATGCAAATACTCATATACGCTTTCGACATTTTGTATTTATACTTGTATTTTTCTGTCTGAAGCCCATTCAAGCCATATAGGGCTGTAGAAGACTTGGAATTGGTGCTTAGGACCAGCAATCCGACCTTTCGAGTCAAAATACCAATTAAGTCCGATGTATACGAATATTTTCTGCAGAGGAGTGGCAATCACAACGAGTTCGCGCATTTCCGTCTCCTGGCTGCTATTCATTTCGTTTTTGTCATGACTTGACTTATGCGTATTACTGCAAATATCAATTAATGTATAAAACGTGCGTGAAATACATAAGGGGTTTAAGCTGGCTGAGAACATCTACTGAACACGCACTGACCTTGTATTATAATGCAGTGTCAGGTCTGTGTCCCTGGGTCTGAGTCGGGAGACAGCAACCGTAATTGATTTGTGTGCAATTTATGCGTCTGTGAAGCTCTTGACATGGGCAGGAGAGTTGCGGAAGTTGTTGGAGCTTGGCCTTTGCTCTAAGTGTGACAGCTGCAACGCTTGGCTACATCTGTAATCATTTGGGCGTTATTAGGCAAACAACAAACTTCCAACAGCTAAATGCAGTTCGGGTAGCTGTGAATTTGTATCTTAACTGCCTGCGGCTGACCGCTGGACAGAAGTTTCAGGCCGCAAATTCTGTTCGAGTTCGGTTATTTATAAGCTTAGGTGTTTAATTGAAATTTAGTTTCTGCTAACAACCAACTGCTTATTAAACAAAATACAAAATTATGAGACTGCGGACTTCAAGATTTTGTTCAGTTCCTCACTTTTAACAAAATATTCCCTTCCTCAAAAAGAGGAAAAATAATACTATGTGCTTTACGTTTTTGGCATTTTAATGCCTCTTGTGGCTCGCATCGACACTAGTCCCAGTCCCAATACCAGCCAGTCCCATTTGATGTCCCCATCACGTCCGTGTTTGTTTATTGGTTTGTTGTTGCTGGTGACCGCCGTGCGGTAGGTTTCCTTTTGGGTTCAGTTTGAGGCTTCGACTTCACATATTTACAGTAGACCATATTATGGGAGACCGACCGGGTGTACAAGTATAACCACGACTGTTGTTTTGCTGTTCGTGGTCACTGTGCCGCATATCTCTGTGTGCCTGTTGTTTGTGTTTGCGCTGCGGCATCTTCACAGCTGAGTGATTGCGGTCCAATATTTGTCTTTGTAGGTCCAATGCTGGGAGGGCGCTACATTTGGCCAGTAGGCCATTTTGACACCCCCTGGAGAAGGCTTCATGCATAGCAGTATTTGTAATTGTAATTTCGAGCACATTTTCAATATGTGTTCTTTAAAAAAGGGTAAAGTGGACTTGGCAAGCCAATTTGAATGGCTCTTGAAATGTTCGGAGGCATTATGGTGTGAAGAGACTACTTTCTACTTTAAATCGGAGGCCACATTTTTAGCCAAAGATGCAACAGTTGGGTTTTAAAGCTTTTCACAGCATACCATCAAAAGCGCATCTATTTCATATTGCGAACGTATTTCAATTTCTTGCCCAATATGGCACAAAAATAATATACATTTTAGGACATAACGAACTATTATTTTAATACTCTGTTCATCAAATGTACAAGAGTATATCAGGTTTGCAGAGGCGTGGCAGACCCCACTAAGATGCCTGAATTTTTGGTGATTTTTCATAACACTCGTAATTTTGAATTTTTTATTCAAATGTGGAAAATACTTCCAGTTAATGATCCGAATGCTAAGTTTCATTACGATAAGCAAATGTGCAGTTAGGAGGTACTATAATCGATCAAAATAAATGTTCACATATTACAATTTCTTTCCTTTTTACAATTATTTAAATTTCTATAATTATTCTACATGAATTTCTAAGTTTTTTGGGCTACAATAGCTGGACCGAGGTCGCTGATTTGTCGATTTGGACCTGTGTAGCTCGATTTTTTATTAACTATTCTTCAATTCAACTTCAATAAACTTCTATCCTAGCTCCGGTATCCCACCTCATTGGCTGACTAGCTATTCTATTCATAAAAAAAGATACTGAG